GCATTGTACAAATGATCACTTTCGCATGGATAATGTCCAGGTGGTCACTTTTTTCATATCAAACCGAATGGACATTTCCTAACATGTGAATACCGCTCAAATGGTCACTTTCTTGCAGGTGGCCACTTTCATCCAAGTGGACACCAATCGCTGACGGCTAATGTCCGTTTCTTCAGCGCTGTCCCCGCATTCATTCACTCGGTTCATGCGCATACAAATAATTCGAAAGACCGGGAAAGAAAGTAAAAGTTCACAACAACTGTCATTTACTTAATGATTTCAGGTCACCAGTGGTATTACCAGCTGTGGTGATAGGAGAAGTAACAACAGTTGCAACTGGCGTTGGGGGTGTTTTTGACTGTTCTTTCTGAATAGCTGCTGTCGCTGTTGCTGCTGTTGAGGGACTGTGGATTAGATTGAGGGTGAAGCTGGAATTAGGTACCTGGAATGGAAACACTGCTAGGGGTAAGGAACTTGCAACCGATGATACCGGAGATCCGGCGATAACAGCATTAGAGGTTGACGCGGAGGTGGTTGACGGTGTCATCGGTGCGGGTGGTACCACCAGTGGGGCAAGAGGTGCAATTGGTAGTGCACCGGAGCTACCGGTCGGTATACCAAGTGGAAGGCCTGCTGTTGCCTGTAGGGGGAAAAGTCGCGGATGGCTCAATGAGTTGGCAGCCATGTAGTTGGCCCAGTACGGATTGGTGCGAAGTAGCTGCTGGATTGCTGCAACATTAGACGCTTCGTTCAGCAGATCCATGCCAACCGCTGCTTGTCGCTTCCATTTTGTCCTGCAATTTACAAAATCAACAGCAAATCAGGGCAGGGAACTATTACCTTTGACAAAAATAGCGCATTTTTTCAGCTCATTCCGCACATTGACTGAGAGAGGAGTGATGCTAGGCGATAGAACTTCGAGAGAAATAGGAAGCCGTCTATCTTTCGCACAATTCTTACCGCTTTGGGTTCTATGCTAATTCAAAAATTATTTAAAATTGGTGGATTTTTTGCTTGCAAAAGTGCAGTTAGTCGAAGAAAAAAGAGGACAGAGGCAAAAAACGAGTACAGTTTGGCTGATACGCCTCAATAAGCTCATTATCTGGCTGTTGTCGTTGAAAATTTAGATGGACAAATACCGCAGGAAATGGGACATCAGCAATCCTCCCGGTGCGCCTTTTGTTCACAATTTTCTGCTACACTGAACAATTTGACGATGATTTGGAGAACACGAAGAGCGCAGGGGTGCTAAAAGCTTGCTATAACTACACCTTGTCAAGCAGCTAACACTAATTCACCTCATCCCACCCTCATCCCTCACGCCCTCTCATATTTTTGCAGCTGTATGTAATAAGAAGCAATTAGTGTTTTGCTCAAATTAAGCAATATTTTTTCTTGTATTACGGTAGCATTGAGGAGTGCATTGACGAAAAATACATGGCAGCTTTTCAAGCTCACAAGAATTTTTTAAACTCTTCAAGCTCCCACTTGAAAAACCTCAAAAAAAAGTCTTTCACCACCATTTATGGTAAGAAATTGTTG